ACAGTGTTGAAATTAATTCACTTCGTGGGGCCTCCTCCTGTCCTGGCTGAGACCCACCAGCACAGCCGCCGGCTAAGGCCTGTTCTCCTGGTGATCACGCTTTTCTGGAGCATCTAACGGGCTCTTATCAAATGTGGTCGAGATTACAGAAGCAATATGTAAGTGGTGACATCTTCACTTCGCCATTCAAATTACTCGAAATTAATATACATTTAAACTCACTCAGTAATGAGGACATTTACTCTGATTTAGGTACAAGTGCACCAAATACGAGTTTACGTGAAGAATTTATTTAAGGAGTACCTATATTTGAGTGAAAGTACTCAATTTTAGTTTAAATATGATCACAAATGAGTAAAATGATCAAAATGCCCAATATTGAGTGAAAATGTACTCAGTACCTTTATTGCTTTCACTCACACCATTTTTTTACAGAGTAGGTTCAGTACAAAACAATGGAAAAAATTTAATTTTGTCGTCATTTAGAATAAAAAAAAAAACGTATCAGATAAAAAGAAAGCGTTTAGTAAATTTAAGAAATTAAAAACTGTTGAGTCTTACAACGAGTATAAGGATATCCGTAACTTAGTTAATCGATCTGTTAGGGCAGAAAAAAAGGCGTTTTTAAAGTTCAAATTTAAAAATGATCCTAAGTCTTTTTGGAAGACCTTAAAGTATCTAAACGTTACTAAGCCAGATATTACTAATTGTGATATAGACGTATATTCTTATAATAATTATTTATGTGATGAGTTGCCTCAACCTCCAAAATATAATGATATGCAAATAATTTTAAATAAATATAATGGAAAGTTGCTCAGTCGAAACGAGGAATTCACTTTTAGGACGGTTGCAAAAGGTGAAATTAAAAAAATTATTTTTCGCATTAGAACTCAAGCTAAGGTATATGACAATATAAATCAAAAAATGTTACTCTATGTTTTTCCTTTTCTTAGTGATTATTTTACATCCATCATAAATAAATGCTTAACCACAGGCACTTTCCCTATGGCTTGGAAAAATTCGCATGTTATACCATGTCCAAAAAACAATAATCCAATGACACTTTCTGACTATCGTCCTA